CACTAGATTGCAGAGTCCTATTCACTGCCATCTTTGCAAATGCTGCCCCTGAAAGTTGTGCTATGCTCTGGCTGACAGCCCTGCTGCAGAGTCTTCAACTTCCTCACAATTTGTTCAACCTCACAACTCCGAGCAGGTTCCAATCAACCTAATCTGTGTTATGGGCATTGTAACCTATGGTGTATGCTACTGTTACAGGAAGATATTTCTTTCTATCATTCTGTGCACCTAGAAGCTAGAAATGCAGGCATTAAACAGATTCTTAGAACACTGAAGGTGAGGAAATGGGAAAACACACACACACACACACACACACACGCACACACACACACCAGCTCTTCTCAATAGAAGAACTAAGCCATATATAACAATGGTTTGGAGTATTCTCTCTAATAAGATGAGTGACACTAACCACAGAATGACCTTTCCATTGGCAAAATGGCTAAACGGGAGACTTTATTGTAAATGAATTATAGTGTAGGTGTCTAAACAAACACATTAGTGAACAAAACGCTTTAAAAGGTATAGTTATCTTTAAAAAAACATCCAGCACTGAATTGAAAGATCAGTGATGATTCATGTTTTTTGATACTTTTCAAAGAGGACTGGAGAAGTAGAAAAATATCTTCAAGTTCTCATGTGAGAAAATCAATGGAAAGATTTGGAATTGTAATTAGGCGAGATGACTTGCCAGATGGCATAATTTAAAATATTTTTATTAAGGAAGTATTCTCATTTTATAGGCAAGGAAGAGTGATTAACAGGAACTTCTGTTCTGGCTAACTTCAGCACACTTTCGATAAATTGAAACTATGTCCTGCCATGAACCATGATAGAACTAGCTGGCAAGCTATCATTGTCTCTCATCTTGACATGAACTCCCCAGCTAGGATAAGCATTGCCTTTATTTTGTGGGTCCAAGGGCTAGGATGGAAAAAAAAATAAACCACAGTCATAAATACATTGTATACTTTCAGTTCTAAACAATTATACTTCCACTTACAAAATATCATCATTTTTTTTTTTTTACTGTCTCATTGTTCCATTATATGTGTACTTATTTTAATCATGCCATATAACAGGTTTCTTTGTGGGTAATGCCTTAGTCATTATCAAATTTTCCACAATTTTTACTATAAAGCATTGTATATTTTATGTCTATTCGATCTTTGATAAGCACATAAATCATGTTTGATTTTCAATGGATAATATATAGGATGAGACTCAGATTTTAATTTGATATATTCTATTTTATAAAGAAACACTGTGTAAAAAATCACAGCTGAGAACCCTAGTCCTTAACTCTGATAATCACGTAGGCTACTTTCAGTTGAATTTTTCTGATCTATTTCCCCCTGCTCCAGTATTTTCCAGCCCTTCACATACCTTATATTGCAAGTACTTTGGCTTTGACCAACAGTTTTTCTCCTTAGATGCAATCTATTATTTGATTCTGGCTTGATACACAGAGCTCAAGTTAGAGAAACCTCTTTTGTTCCTTCTCCCCATCTACATTGGGTTGTACCCATTGGTCCAATCTTAAAACAAACAAACAAACAAAAACCCCAAAAGTTAAGAAATGTGGAGTCCAAAGAGTTTTGGACATGTGATTGTGTACAGGATAAACAAGGCTGATATAAGCGAAATGATTCAAATGAGGTATCGGAGGGAGGGGAATGCTGAGATGTATAACAGGAGCCAGACTACATCATGAATAGCCTGGAAGTTTAGGGAGGGTGGAAGCAGAGTGAGTTAATGAAAGCAGGTGGACATAAGGGAGGTTGGGATGGATTACAAAAGCCATGCTGCGGTTGACACTGGACATTTGGAGTAGGCACGATTTTATACACCCAACATAGGATGGATGTCAGCACCAATAAATCACCCAAGAGCACTTGTGAAAATATTTTTCAGAAGTACCAGATGTATTCTTACAAGAACTGAGGAAAACGACTCAAGGGATAATTATAGATGCAGGAAACTACAAGAATAAAATTTGAATTCAAGATTCTCTGAGATACAACATCTTCTAAAATGCAAACAGAAAACCTACTAAAATGTTTTAGCTTTTCTGATAATTACTACCTTTTAGTAATTATTATTACTGAATAGATAACAGCAATAGATAATTACTATTTTTTAGTTTATTTTTAATAACTCATTGCAATTAGACACACTCAAAAACAGAACTGTTAGTTTAATAATGGAATTGTGTATTGGTTATATCCGACTTTTTCCAAGACTCAGTTAAATATATATATATATTCAAGAGAAAGGGCTATTGATTCAAATCATGACTTACACCCACCTTCTATTTTCCTATAATGCTCTTTTCAATAGCTTAAAAACCATGAGAAGATGCCAATGCACCTGTGTCCAGGAAGAAATAAAAATAACCACCTGTGTTCTAGCTATCCCAGCTCATCACACATGGCCCTCAATGAGAAGATACTGGATGGCACTGCAGATGCCCATAGTGCAATGCAGTCCTTGGTTTTCTGCAAGTGCACAGGGTGATCTCTGGTTTGATGGCGATCAAGCTCTGCATTTGCCTCTACTCCTCATTAAAATAAAAGAGAATACAAACAGAATTAAACCCATAAACCCTAACAGGAAAGACAGTGGGAGAAGGATCATAATTCAACGTAGACTTCAAAGCATTCTGGGAGATGAAAAATGGATGGGAACCATCCAGTTACACAAAGAAGCCTGAGGAATCTGCAGCCCCAAATTAACACAGTAAAGGATGGCAGAGAAAGAGGGAGCTAATCTTCTAGGCAGAACTCCTAAAATGTCTGGAATAAAATCAATGAGAATGGAGGGGAGAATTATGAAAGTGAGCCAAAATTGGTAGAGAGAAATAGAAAGTCTGACTAAAATTCTGTTTCTAGATTGAGAAGCCAATCATCTTCCTACTCTTCTCTCTCTCCTACATTTCTATCTGGATTTAACAAGAGTACAAGAAACCTCACGTTGAATCAAGGCAAAAGAAAATAAAGCAAAATAATAATTACCCTAACAAAAACAATGACCCCTACATTAAGAAAAGTAATGGATTGAGTGGAAAGAATTAGGACAACCAGCTGGATGCTGGCACCACAGAATAAATTCCTTCCCATTTTAGTAATCTCTTATCAAAAGCCTGGATCCTCAGTGATTTAAGTGCAGAAATGCCCAGGTTAGCGTCCTGACTCAAGGAAAATTTTTTGTAAGGAAAACAAGTATGCAAATATAGCAGCAGAAAAAATCCAATCTGCTCTCTGGAAAAGTCAACTCAATACTTCCTGTTTTAAAATGCACAAATAACTTATAATCAATCAGGCATATAAGGAAAAATAACGGCATTAAAATGGCAAAATAAACAAAACAATCCCAGTGAAAACAGAAATAACTCATTGAAGAGAAGAAACTTGAAAAAAATCTAATTAGTATTCTCAGAGAGATCTGAAAGCTGATACCAAAACAAAAACAAAAACAAAACAAAACACAATAAGATAAAGTCAAGGAACTCTACATATATACACAGCAAAAAGGATGAAGAAACAGAAAATATGTGATCAAATATAAAAGGCATAAGAGGACAATCACAAATTCCAGACATCCAACAAATATGAGATCTGGAAGGAGAAAACAGAAGGGAAGAAATAAGCAAAATAAAACACAGGAAAATGTTGCATGTGAATTTATTTAAAGAGTACCCTGCTTACACACAACAATGGGTGAAACAAATACCTACTCTAAACACAACATCAGGAAATCTCAGAACATAAAGAGAAAAAACACACACACACAAAACAGCCATCTCAAATTTTGCCAGTTGCTGTGGCAGAAGATTGAGAGCTGAACAGTTTGATGCCCAGATCAGAGAATGACTTTCTTCCCTGCTGCTCAACTCATTGGCTAAAGCTAGCCCCTTGGCTTCACCAGCCACAAGGGGTACAAAGTTCAATAATTCCATGTGCAAATAATAAAGAGAGAAGGAAAAATTATTTATGAACAGCACCAATGTATGCAACAATTACTTCTACATATTTTTATGAATAATTTGTATATGAAATTATTCTAGTACAATGAGGGAAAGCTGAGATGTGCAGAAATATATTAATTTTATACGAAAGTCAAAAGATAAGAAAAGTTGGGTTACTGGGTAGCTCAGTCTGACCCTTGATTTCAGCTCAGGTCATGATCCCAGGGTCATGGGATTGAGCACCGTGTTGAACATGGAGCCTGCTTAAGATTCTCTTGCTTTCTCCCTCTCTCCCCCTTACTTGCATGCTCTCTCTCTCTCTCAAATAAAATGAAATGAAATGAAATAAAATAAAATAAAATAAAATAGGGACACCTGGGTGGCTCAGTTGGTTAAGCATCCGACTTCGGCTCAGGTTATGATCTCACAGTTCATGGGTTCAAGCCCTGCATTGGGCTCTGTGCTGAGAGCTCAGAGCTGGGAGCCTGCTTTGGATTCTGTGTCTCCCTCTCTCTCTGCTCCTTCCCCATTCATGTTCTGTCTCTCTGTGTCTCATAAATAAATATAAAGTTAAAAAAAATTTAAATAAAATAAAAAATAAAAAAATAATTTTAAAAAGATAAAAGTTGAATATGATATATATTTACACTTTTTACTGTGCTAAAACACACATAACAATATTTACCATTTTAAGAATTTTTAATTGTATACAGTCCACTGGTATTAAATACATTCACATTGTTGCATAACCACCACCACCATTCATCTCCAGAACTTTTTCATCTTCCCCAACTAAAACTCTATGCCCATTAAACTAGAAGTCCTATTGCCCCCTCTTCCCAGCCCCTGGAAAACACCATTCTACTTTCTGTCTCTATGATTTGATTACTGTAGGTATTTCATGTAAGTAGAATCATATAATATTTATCCTTTTATCTCTGGCTTATTTCACTTGGCATATGTCTTCAAGGGTCTTCCATGTTGTAGCATGTGTTAGAAGTGCAATCTTTTTTAAGGCTGAACAATATTCTATAAAAATATGCAATGCTTCATTAATTTACATGTCATCTCTGAGCAGGAGCCATGCTAATTTCTGTATCATTCCAATGTTAGCATATGTGCTGATGAAACAAGTACTAAAGATTTAACCAACTGGAAACCTAAAATATTAACTAAGGGTTGAGCAGAGGAGGAGATGTTGGGATTATATAAGTGAGCTAAATGTTCATCTTCAATAGATAGGAAATGATAATGCCCATGTTTCATAAATCAAGAAAAAGTCATACCAGTACCTTGCTTATAGTTATGGATGTAACCTCCACAAGAAGTGACATTTTAAAAAATAACAAGAACAAGGACTAAGTAATTGGAGGGGCAGAACAAGGGAGAGGTATCATTTCAAGGTGTTCTGCATTGCTGTCGTTGTTTCTTTTAATCTTTACATATAATAATCTAATAATAAAAAGTACCTCCAACAACAGTACTACTTAATGACCAGAATTGTAACCCAGAAATCCTAACATTTTAATAGTGTCTACTTTTCATTGCAATAGATTACCTCTCCCAAGTCACCTTCTTGAAGACCCTATTGCCGTGGACATCATTAAGTCACATAGAAAAGGATGTGGAAAGGCATAGCAATGGCCTAACTGCAAAGGTCTTTTCTTCTCATTTCCATGTTTGACTCCTTATATTACTCATATTGTTCTATTTTACATAATATTTTATTACTATAATTACTACTTGGACTACAATTTTCCTCCTTTAACATGGTCTATCTGCTTCTTTGGACACTGGTTTTGCTACTTGCCTGGGATGTGTAGGAGTTCCTTGAAAGCGCACTCTCTTACTCCTATACACCCTAGGAATTTTCTCAAAGACCAGTTCTTTTTTTTTTTTTTTGTCTACTTTCTCTCTCTCTCTCTCTTTTTTTTTTTTTTTACAAACAGTTTATTGTCAAATTAGTTTCCACATAACACTCAGTGCTCATCCCCACAAGTGTCCTCCTCCATGCCCCTCCCCCCCCCACATCCATCAGTCTTCAGTTTTTGTCAGCATTCAAGAGTCTCTCATGGTTTGCCTCTCTCCCTTTCCCCCACCATTTCTGCCCTTCTTCTCCCCCTTGTTCCTCCGTCAAGTTCCACCTAATCCTCCTATACGTGCAAACATATGATATTTGTCCTTCTCTGCCTGACTTATTTCGCTCAGCATAACACCCTCAAGGTCCATCCATGTTGCGACACATGGCCAGATTTCATTGTTTCTCATTGCCATGTAGTATTCCATGGTATGGATAAACCACATCTTGACCCATTCATCTGTTGATGGACACTTAGGCTCTTTCCATGTTTTAGCTATTGTGGAGAGTGCTGCTATGAACATTGGAGTACACGTGCTCCTATGCCTCAGCATTTCTGTATCCCTTGGGTAAATTCCTAGCAGTGCTATTGCTGGGTCCTAGGGGAGTTCTATTGTTAGTTTCCTGAGGAACCTCCACACTGTTTTCCAGAGGGGCTGTACCAGTTTACATTCCCACCAACAGTGTAGGAGGGTGCCCGTTTCTCCACATCCTCGCCAGCATCTAGAGTTCTCTGATTTGCTCATTTTAGCCACTCTGACTGGCGTGAGGTGGTATCTCAGTGTGGTTTTGATTTGTATTTCCCTGATGAGGAGGGATGCTGAGCATCGTTTCATGTGTCTGTTGGCCATCTGGATGTCCTCTTTGGAGAAGTGTCTGTTCATGTCTTCTGCCCATTTCTTCACTGGGTTGTTTGTTTTTCGGGCGTGTAGTTTGGTGAGTTCCTTATAGATTCTGGATATTAACCCTTTATCTGATATGTCATTTGCAACTATCTTTTCCCATTCCGTTGGTTGCCTATTAATTTTCTGGGTTGTTTCCTTGGCTGTGCAGCTTTTAATCTTGATGAGGTCCCAACAGTTTATTTTTGCTCTTGATTCCCTTGCTTTTGGGGATGTGTCAAGTAAGAAGTTGCTGCGGTGGAGGTCAAGGAGGTTGTTTCCTGCTTTCTCCTCTAGGGTGTTGATAGTTTCCTGTCTCACATTCAGGTCCTTTATCCATTTTGAGTTTATTTTTGTGCATGGTGTGAGAAAATGATCTAGTTTCATTCTTCTGCATGTTGCTGTCCAGTTCTCCCAACACCATCTGTAAAAAAGGCTGTCTTTTTTCCATTGGATATTCTTTCCTGCTTTGTCAAAGATCAGTTGGCTGTATACTTTTGGGTCTACTTCTGCGTTCTCAATTCTGTTCCATTGGTCTATGTGTCTGTTTTTGTGCCAATACCATACTGTCTTGATGACGACAGCTCAAAGACCAGTTCTTGTTCAGCACAATTTCCACATCAGCATCAGGACTTCCTTGAGAGTTCCAGGCAAAGGCATCAGCACCCAGGAACTTTTTCAGTGGCCCCAACTATTACTATAGCTGTGGGAATAATGCCTATCCTCTCCTGCTCTTTAATTTTCCTAAACCACTCAAAGCCACTTCTCATTTCTCTTCCTGACTAATCTGAAAGTCTGAGCTCTGTTAGTAACATTACCTTGGCCAGAAGTTTGATGTGGAGTTCCTAAACCCACAAGAATGACGTACTCCCTGTGTGCTGCACCTGAATCAGCTGAGATGAAAGCACATTCATCCCAAATTTCAGGTGATGGAGGAAGATGTAGTTTCACGTCCTCAAGTAAGAAATCATTTAAACTAAGTTTTTTTTTTTTCTAAATAAAGTTTATTTGGTGTGTGTGTGTGTGTGTGTGTGTGTGTGTGAGAGAGAGAGAGAGAGAGAGAGAAACAGAGAGAGAGAAACAGAGAGAGAGCAGAGGAAGGGCATAGAGAGAAGGAGAGTGAGACAATCCCAAGCAAGTTCTGTGCTAGCATTGTAGAGCCCAAAAGGGGGCTCAGTCTCACAAAGCATGAGCCATCTAGGCACTGACTGAGCCATCTAGGCACCCCTAAAATAAGTTTTATACTCAGTTTTACAGAGAAAATGGGATGTTTCAGATTAATAAAAGGAATCCCTCTAATCTGAAAATGGAGTCTTCTCAGTTGTAAATATTTTGTCTCTTCTTTAAGTTTTGTACTTTAGTATTCTTCTGAAGTCAATTATCATCTTTATTTTAAAAACTTTTGCAGATGCAGAAACTTGATCTGGAAAAGTGATGAAGGGTGACCTTAGAATCTTCTATATGCTGCATTTGTCAAACATTTCAGTATTATTTCCAGCTCAAAGTTTCATATATTAGGAAAGAAATCTAGAAATCTATAAAAATATAATCAGCTATGATCATGTGGTGACTAAAAGTCTATTAATTAAGGAACCCTTTTTTTTTTTTTTTAGGAGAGAGAGAGAGAGAGACAGCGTGAGCAGGGGAGGGTCAGAGAGAGAGGGAGTCACAGACTGAAATAGGCTCCAGACTCTGAGGTGGCAGTCAGCACAGAGCCTGACGCGGGGCTCGAATCCACGAACCGCGAGATCATGACCTAAGCGAAAGTCGGACGCTTAACCAACTAAGCCACCCAGGCGAGATATGCAGCCCAGGGGGGAATAAAAAGATAATGTGTAAAAGGAAGAGCTAGAAGTTGCTTGTGTGTCAGGTATGCAGAGTGCCTAAGAGCTTGGGTTCTGTGATCTAGCACACTTGGCACAAATTCCAACTCTCCATTTATCAGTAGTGTGATTCTTAGCCAGGTCACTCCAGCACTTAGGCCTCGATTCCTTCTTCTATAAAATGGGAGCAAATATTAATGGCTATATTACAAGATGTTTGTGATAATAAATAATAACATAAACACCTGCAATGTTACTACATGCCTCGTATATAGGAGAAAATTCTGTGAGCCATCAGCATCACCATCATAATTATCATTATTACTTTTTTTTTTATCACACATTATTCCTATTATTCCAAATGGGAAAACAAATACTAATGAAAAATGTCCTAGATCAATAAAACGGTGACTTTCTTAACAAATGAAACCACTAACCATGGGACGGAGAGTTCAATGAAATAATGAGCTTCCCATGGCCATCTCACAGGAATTCTGCAATTAAAAGGAGTTCCTGCATTAAGAAGGAGGTTATACCTGATGATCATTAAGGTCCCTCTTACTTTTCAGATATAATGTAATGATTAAGTTCATGCAGCTCATTAGTGCCAGCAAGTTTGGGGTGTGTTGTGGTCCCAAATTGTCCTTCCTTCTAGTTAATAAGGAGAGAGGCTGATTGCAGAGTTTCCAGTTACTATTTCCACACAGGGCTGCCAAGTAAAGTTGTTTCTTCTACCCCACAAGCTGGCAGGCCTCACTCTCCTCTTCTGTTTTCATCATGAAAGCCTTAGGAAGCAGAGACCGCCTGTTCTTCCGATCCACTCCCCCAAGAAAATGACAAAATGACATTCTTTCCCACTCTCTGTGAGATGATTTCTGTTAACAGCTCAGGAAAAATGCTGCAAAAATGTGAGTGAAATGATGGCAGGATTTGTTGACAAGAAGGCAAAATGAGGGAATTCAGAAAAAATCACCCACATTAGAGACTGAGGGGCCTGTGGGTTCCATCTGCTCCCCTCTTCTCTGGCCTGGGGTAGTTTCAGAATCCTCTCAGGGGATAGTCAGTCTTCTTTTAACTGACTCAATCAATGGGGCTTCTAATAAAGTCTAACGGATCTCCTTATTATCAGGTTTTTTTATATTCAGTATAAAATTTTCCTTTGATTAATTTAACCTATTTCTCTTCATTAGATGATGGCAGTAATTTTGAAACAAAGGGAAGCATGCAAATTTAAAAAGAGTCATTGTGGAAATATCTGCTTAAAATATCTTATTTTTGCAGGAACACAGGGCATAATTACTGTTCAAACAACCTCTAGAGAAGTGAGGTTCCCAAACAGGAAGGATACTTGGAGCAAAGCCTGCCCTGATGTACATATTTCTACTCTTGTCTGTGATTAGAAGCATCCAAAGAAAGGTTACCTGCCCACCAAAATCAGGCCAGTGTGCCTGACATTATCTGCAGATATTCACTCTAGACCTTTCTAGACTCTTGTTTTACTAGAGTAAAACTCTAGCTTTGAAAGTTGTTAAATGAACTATTAACACAATGAATGAAAAATATATATATATCACT